AGAGGCGCTCCTTGCTCGTCAACTGCAAGGCTGAGCTCAAGCGCTTTGCGATGATTCTCTTCCCCACTTTGACAGATGCCTACTCAAGCACGGTCAATCTGCATGTTCGCCAGAAAGTTCTGATTGCACAGCTGAAGATGCTGCACATTCTCGAGCCTTCTTTGATTGAAGATGCCCTGCGTACAGTTCCTTACGCGTCATTCCTGGCTGCTATTCTGTCTCAGAAAGACCACCCTTCTCTCGTATCTTTGGCTCTACGCTGCGCCGAGCTACTGTTCCAGCGACTTGAACATGTCTACCAACATCAATTCCACCGAGAAGGAGTGATCTCCGCTATTATCAAATTATCCGAAGGCTCTCTTTCAGGAGACCAGGAGATTGATTCATCCGACCCCACACGTATAAATATCACCACAGATTCATCCCGAGGTGCTGGCGAAATTGGAGCTGGCGGAGATGATGAGGATGATGACGATGAAGCCGATGACTACGACGACGAGGATGGCGATGATGATGACCATGATGACATGTCTGATTCCGAGGATGAATTCATGGTGGGCCCACGCAGTCTACAAAAGATGGACAATGCGCTCAACGACGTAGTTATCCGAGATGCTCAAGCTTTCCTCGAGGTATATGAAACAAGCCATGGCGAAATCGTTCGAGCAGAGGCGCTCAGGATCTTGACAGCATTGAAATCTCTCGCCTTCGAAATCAAGTCACGCTATTCTCGTGGCGGTGAGGGCGGCCTTCCGTTATTTAAACAACTCGCGTCATACTTTGATGGAGACGCCTTGGAGAGCATCACCAGCTCTGAATTGCTCAACTCCGGCATCATAGACGTTCTTCTGTCTGTTCTTGGTAACTTTCAAGCGCCTTCTATCCGCGATGCCAGAGCCGACTTCCTACGGGCGTTCATGGGTGTTTCGATCTCAGACAAGGCTCAAAGCCAGAGCACCGCCACAACACCTTTCAGTGTACTTATCCGCAAGCTGCAAGACTTGCTTAGCAGAACGGAACATTTTGAAGTCCTCACCGTCAGTCACAATTCGCTGGAGAACACCCGCAGCAACGCCGCCTACATGCTGAGCAAACAGCTCCGGCTCAAGCTGGTTGCCGATGACGGGTCCGAAGTTCCTCGCCCCTATCGCAACCTCATGGTGTCAATTCATGCCATTGCTACATTCAAGGCCTTGGATGACTTCCTTCATCCCCGAATCGCCGTGGCGGAAAAGCCTCGCCCCTCACGGACAAGGGACTCCATTCTCTCCCAATTTGCCAATGCATCCCGACTTCGTGAACAGTTGGCTTCGGGGTCTGGCATGAACCTTCCAAGTCACGCAGGGGGCCCACATGGTACTGTCACCGATCCTGCGGATGGGGCCTATGATCCTGCAACCGGTCACCCACATCATCAATCAAATCGGATTCAAGAGGATGAAGACGAAGACCCCGATGACGAGCCCCTTGAGTGTGCAGATGAAAGGCAACTGACTGATGAAGACGAAGACGGCGGCGAGGAAGAAGAGGACGAAGAACTCAACGCCATTGTTGATGATCTCGATGAGGATATGGAAAATGATAATATCTCGGACCCCTCGGCAGTCAACATGGAGGTGGCGTCTTCAGGCAAGGTCACAGCTCGCAAGGAGGATGGTACTCGAGTTGGGACTCCCTCCCAGACGGCTGCATCGAAACCCTCTTCATCATCAACACCTACCGCTCCTCCCAGCCGCATGCCCAACAACTCGCTCGCCTCTGCAGGGCGCCCATTCTCATCATATGCCGCTGCGATGGCCTCGGTGCCTCAGGACTGGCACCTTGAATTTTTCGTAGATGGTAAGCCGGTTACCAATGAGACAACTATCTATCGGGGTGTTCATCACGACCGTGAGGACTTGGATGAGAGTAGTGCCAAGAACGTCTGGTCGGCAGTTCATACCATCACGTTCAAACGCGTTCCTGGTCCCCCACCGCCTGAGCCCTCAACCCTCACATCGGCCTCCCAAGCTTCTTCTGGGGGCGATACCCTTGAGATCCCAGCCTCGCTCGACAAAAACCCCACGACTTCATCCATCATTCGCCTACTTCGTGTTTTGCACGAAATGAACGCAACCATTGATGACATTTTGACCGATAGCAAAGACTCTGCCACCATCACTTCAGAGCCTTTGTCCCAATTCATCAACACGAAGCTTACCGCCAAGATCAACCGCCAACTTGAGGAGCCCCTGATTGTGGCAAGCGATTGCCTTCCAAGTTGGAGTGAAGACCTAGCCAGGCTTTTCTCCTTCTTATTCCCATTCGAGACAAGGCATTTATTCCTGCAGTCTACTGCATTTGGCTACTCACGGGCGATGATGAGATGGCAAAATTCTCAAAGTGTCGAGGATAGCCGACGTGACCTGCGCCGCGACGATCGCCCATTCCTTGGGCGGCTGCAACGCCAAAAAGTGCGCATCTCTCGTTCTCGTATCCTAGATTCTGCATTAAAAGTTATGGAGCTCTATGGGTCGTCCCCCAGCATCCTTGAGGTTGAATACTTTGAAGAAGTCGGTACTGGATTAGGGCCGACTCTTGAATTCTACTCCACTGTTTCCAGAGAGTTCTCGAAGAAGAAGCTCAAGATATGGAGAGACACGGATGGGAGCTCTACTACGGAGTACGCATTTGGCACGCGTGGCCTGTTCCCAGCGCCTATGAGTGATGAACAAGCAGCCCAGGATGTCGGCAAGAAGCAATTGAACATTTTCAAGGTGCTAGGGAAGTTCGTGGCCCGTTCGATGCTTGACTCCCGGATTATCGACATTTCGTTTAATCCAGCGTTCTTCCGTATCGCGGATACTCTGTCCTCGGTGGCACCATCTCTGGGCACTGTCAAGCTAGTTGATCACGACCTCGCGAACTCCTTGATCATGCTCAAGGAATTTGTCAATGCCAAAATCGTTATTGAGGCAGACATGTCGCTTTCGCCAGCCCGTAAATCCGAGGCCGTGCAAAACATCACGGTCCACGGTGCCAGGGTTGATGATCTGGGGTTGGACTTCACTTTACCTGGATATCCTGCTATTGAATTAATTTCTGGCGGCGCTGATGTACAGTTGACAATCGAAAATGTTGACACTTACGTCGAACGAGTGATCGACATGACACTGGGCAGCGGTGTCCGGCGTCAGGTGGATGCCTTCCGGGCTGGATTCTCGCAAGTCTTCCCCTTTTCTTCCCTTCGTGCTTTCACTCCCAGTGAGCTTGTCATGCTTTTCGGACAAGCCGAGGAGGATTGGTCTATCGAAACCTTGATGGATTCCATCAAGGCCGATCACGGTTTCAACATGGACAGTCGGAGTGTCCGCAACCTGCTGCAGACTATGAGTGAGCTGGACAATCAGCAACGTCGAGATTTCCTTCAGTTTGTCACTGGTAGCCCCAAGCTCCCCATTGGAGGTTTGTCAATCCCACTTACCACCGCATAAAGTCCTACTGACTAACGAATCAATCTAGGTTTTAAGAGTCTGACGCCGATCTTCACTGTCGTGTGTCGCCCAAGCGAACCGCCATATACTCCCGACGACTATCTTCCTAGTGTGATGACTTGCGTCAACTACCTGAAGTTGCCGGACTATAGTGACCTGGATGTTCTCAAGAAGCGCCTCTCAGTCGCCATCAAAGAAGGCCAAGGAGCTTTCCATCTTTCCTAGACCTGTGGACAGGTGTTTCAACTCAAAACTTCTACTATCTCCTCTGCTCTCTCCTCTCCTTTGTTGGTTTTCGTCATTTTCAACCAGGACGAGACACCAGTTACGATGCGACGACTTGCGACCTGTTTCTGCTTTGTTGCCACCCAATTCCCAAGTTTTCGGACGGGCTGTTTCGCTGTTCTTGTCTTTACCTTCTTCATCTGCCATCTGGGTTGAAAGGCGTCCTGGCGGGGGTTCCTTTTGATAGTGGTATTAGATTTTAATGATCACTTTCTCCTGAAATCTAGTTTTTTTCTGGTGTAACTTGTCTCCGTTCCGAGACAACACTTGGTTATATACCTGTACTGTTAAACGCATCTCGCACCCACGTGAAAATGGCCTTTTGTCAAAGACCCTGATGGCTGTGACGATGAGATTCGAATCTCTTGGTCTTACGGCTCATTTTTTGCCATCTCTACACGCATTTCCCGCGGTTTTCGCCAGAAAGCCGAAGCCGCCTTCGTTCGCGGCTATTCTCTGCTTACCATCGCGTTGCATGGACGGCCCTTTCCGGATTGTTCTGTCCACACAGTCGTCAAGGGGACTTCCCTTATCCTCAACTGGATTATGGCAAGCCCCTGGGTGTAACTGTATCATAGAAGTAGATAAGCTGAGTCTTCCCTGCAAGGGGAGGTACGAAGCAGACGGTACCATTTATATGGGTTGGGGTTGGGATTCGGATTCGTTCTAGGCTTTTTCTGAGTCCGGCCTCTACAAGACGCTGGTCTTTACATGCCCTCAGTCGAATCCAATTTGCTGGTTGATCTAGTTGTGGCGTGTGTTGGCAGCCACCGCTACGAGTGACGGCTGAGATGGGGATGGCAAGGAAGCGATAAGAGGAAGATCGAAAGCGGAGTGTGGTGTTGGGAGGAGAGTGCGGAGGGGGGAAATAAGAGAGTAGGCAGCTGGTTCAAGGGAAGTGACAACTGCCCTACTCAAATTTAAGGACGGCTATTGACTGTAGAATTCTCTACTCTTTGAACGCCAGAGTACTTGGTCGGTACTTTCTTATGTTCGAAGCTAAAAGGATCTGAGATGACAGCTCCAGTTGCAAAGAATGATGCCGGTAAGAAGTATACAGACTTAGTGCTTACGCCCCGAGTTTGGATATCAGTAACACAACGACTCTTCGAACGAAGTCTAGTAATTTCCCCATTAAACCGAGTGGCATTCCCATTCCCCCCGAGCCCCTAGACAAGATGCAACCTATATATTCACCTTGCCATTTTGTTGAGCGGTATAGAAACCATCCATACACTAACCATGGCTGCTCCTCGAGAGATCACCATGGAAAACCTCAACGGCCAATGGGTCCTAGTATATATGCTACTCCCATTCGAAGATAATGCGCTACTAATAATACTGTCTACAGAACAAGGACCTCACCAGCGAAACAGATCCTATTTTAAAATTGGTTTGAAGGATCCCCTGCTCTGTCGTCAACTCCAAATTGCAAGCTAATCAGTACTCTCCACAGCAAAAAGTCCCTTGGTGGATCCGCAAGGCATTCGGACTCGCAACAATTTACCTTCAAATCTCTCAATTCCAAGCAGCTTCCGAAACAAGTTCACTATCGACACACATCGATTTCACGCAAACAGCCAGTGCCGGCCTAGCCGCAACCAAAGAAGATCGCGTCTTGGATTGGAAGATGTCAGACCACGAGGACTACTTCTTCGGCAAGGTCCAAGGACAGAGTGAATTCGTTCGTGGTGTCACTGATGCGGATGGAATCGTTAGGCCTGGCTTTGAGCTACAGATGGCCAATGCCAATGCGGAGATAAAGAAGTACTTGCGAGGGGAAATTGAAGCGGATGGGAGGAAATCTGCGGGGTTTATCGTGGAGGATTGGAATCGGAGGTCGGAAGAAGATCCTGGGCTTTGGGTACATACCTTTGAGAGGAATGTTAAGTCTGGATGGACAGCGGAGCAGGCAAGTGATTCAATCGTTTTTCGTGATGATGGATTGCATGGGGTTAAAAGTCACATCCGAAGCTGACTACTTGGGCAGATTTGGGGGTTTGAGATGTTTGGGGACTTGCGATACTTCTCACGTCGAGTGGTGGTCATGACCACCAAGGGAGAATGTTTATGTGGGAGAATTGTCTTGGATTTTGCAAGGACTGGATGAGTAGCTCTCAAGAATCATGTGAAAATCAGTTGATCTATCATTCTATCAGGTTATCAATTTTATGAGTCGATCACTCTATCACTCTATATAACTACATCGCTATATACGTCGCAGGGGAAATACAGACCCCACTCGGTCCACAACACTCTAGTTTGAATAAATCTTCACCATCGACTGAAAACTATTAGCTAGACGCACATCATGCAGCTCAAAGGTTGACTCACATCCGCAAATGTAGGCTCAATAAACAAAGCCTTGGCCTCGGCAACCATGACTGCACCCTCACTCTCTTCCCGCAGCAGACTGGCATCAGAAACAATGCCATTCGAGTCTGCAGAAAGCGGCAAAGTCAAAGGAAGATAAGTCATCCGACCCTCAACCCAAGCCTTTCGACCCTCAACCTTGACCGTCTTCGTGCGCAGCACATACATCCGGTCGGGAAGAGCCGGTTTTCGGAAATCCACATTGAGATTCGCCGTCATGCCCAGCCCGCTGGGTAAAACTGCAGAGACGCAGCGCGCAAACACCTCATCAAAGAGAACAGTGAGTAGACCACCATGGACAAAGCCAGGATGACCGCAGAGGTCCTGACCGATGTGGAATACCGATACAACGCTGCTGGCTCGGTCGGCGCTCTCGGTCGGTGCTGCAGTCTCTCCGGTCGATAGCCACATGTATGGTGCAAAGGAAAGCTTGCCTGGGCCAGCTAAGCTACCACCCACGAAGTGTTGTTGTCTTATGAGAGGTGGGATTGCCAGATGGGGACGTGTTTCCTTGTAGGTGCTGTGTGTTTCGCGGAGAGTTTGGACGAGAGGGATTTGGGAAACGAGGGTGTCGAGAGTTGTGGATTCAAGGTGCGGTGATTGAGCCACGGGGGTTAATTGTGACTGCGTCTGGGAAAGGAATGGGGGTGATTCTGTTTGGCTAGGGAGTGCTTGGTTATGAACCACTGCCGACCGCGTTGGGCCTTGTTGATGAAGACACGCAATAGGCGCTGCGGACGAGCACGGTTTAAATGCTGAAAGGATTTGCGATCGGAAAAGCCTACGCGCTGTTTGTGAAATGGTTGACATTCTGGGAAGTATGAAGCCGATATTGACTCTAGTCATGCATGTTAGAGGGGCTTGTTGGATCGCCGACCGGGGTGCATACTGCAGAACTGGCTCAGATTACTCGGGTCTTGACTTTGTTGATCTTCCTGGGGCGGTTGATTGGAGAGGTGATGTATGAAGTATACCACAATTGAACTTTTTCGATGACCATGGATGTAAGAAGATTTTCTTGCAATTTAAACAAGAGACCCGCCACCGTCTGGATTATTCTAGTCCCTTTCTTTATTAAAAAGCTGATTTTTCCCCTGCTGGACCCAACAGTGGGGCTTAGTGCCCTGGAACTGCCGATGACCGGACAATGATGCCAAGGGATATAGTTCGGGATGCCGAGAACTATAAAACGCCGTAAATCTATATAAATATAGCGTCATTTTTCAACGTGCAATAACTGAAGACTGAAGATGCAAGGCCGTAGTATAGCGCATTCGTAAATTATGGTGGTCTTGAATGGGGACCCTTCCTCGTTGAGGGTGAACGCTGCGCGCGATGACTGTCGTGCCCTCATGGAGCAGCACTCAGTCTCGTCGTCGCCCCTTCTTGTTTGCAATCACATTTCCATCCATCAGGATCTTATCTGTTCTCATTTCTTAGCTTTCAGATCAACCGTCTCTCATAGTGTCTCTTCAAGATGTCGAATGAAACTAACCGCTCTTTTTCTTCTGGCGAGGACTCTGCCCCCGAGAGCGTCACCACCCAATTCGGTTCTGGCATCGTTAACGCTTCCCAGACTGTGAACAACCGGTTTGGCTCTGGTGTGGTCAATACAACCCAGACCATCAGCATCCCGTTCGGAGCTGGTGGGATCAATGCCTCCCAGACTGTGAACAACCATTTCGGCTCTGGTGTGGTCAATGCAACCCAGACAATTACCAGCTCTTTCGGTTCTGGCGCGAGCAATATCCCCCAGACCACCACCAATCCATTCGGCTCTGGAGTGAACAGTAACACCCATGCCGCCACCAATCCGTTCCATTCTGGCGTGGGCAACATCCCCCAGAATATTACCAACCCTTTCCGTCCTGGCCGGGCCGCTCCTCCCCAGCCCAACAATCCTTTTGCTTCTGGTCTGAGAAATGGCACCCCGGTCATCCCCAACCCTTTCGTCTCTGGTTGGGGCATTCCCTCCCAGACCATCAACAACCCTTTCCGTCCCGCCCCCGCCGATGATGCCCCTCGGACTCCCAATGGGGGACTGACCAATGGTCACTCCCACGAGACCGACGAGGAGGCCGAGGAAGATGAGGACCCCGATGAAGAGGGGGCTTAGATGCCACCCTCGACGCCATCCTGGCGGAGGGAGATGAGGAGGAGGATGGCGCTGACAACTACAGCGATGGAGACGAGGACGCCTACCTGGACGAGGCGTAGGTAAGCGATTGCTCACTTGAATGCAAGGTTTGTATTACATTCTCCTTTCTCCTGGCATTCAGTCAGCTTCGGTTCAGTCTGTCATCGCTTTGAACTCACATATGCTTCATTGCTAACTCATTCTTTTGTCATCTAGGTGCTGGTGAGGAGAGCGGTGGTGGCTTTCTCATCGGGTTCCTCGGCCTTGCGGTGCTCCCACCACGGCTGACCTCAAGCGTGGTGGGACACGCATATGATTATGAAAGGGAGGGGGAATGGGGGAATGGGGGAACGGGGAGGAAAACCTGCTTCTTTGAGTTGGCCGGGGAGGCCGACGATGTATGATTTGGACCGGGGCATGGGGCGTTTGCTGTTTCACTCCGCCCAGGAGGATGATGTTCCGCTGGGTTCGCCCAGTGCAGTTGTCATCCAGGCCAGTAGCAGCCGCTCATGCACTGGTCCCGTTGTGATGAGCACCTTTGTTTTGAGTTGAAGTGATCAGTGATCAATTTCATTTTCATTTCAACTCCCCCGTTAGACACCTTAACCACACCGTAAAGGTATATCAAGGCTGGACGTGGCTGTCAACGGTGCCGCAGCGGTTCTAAGGCAGGAGGAGCAGAGTTGGGTGGCCTCATTGGCTGATCTATACGTCTACAATACGACAGTACGGTACGATGCGATACGATGCGAATTACGCGCGGGCTCCGAATCAACATTTTGGAACTTTGGCATAGACCCCCGAATTCCCCAAACGAACCGATATAATCCCGCGGTAACCAAGCCAAGGCTGGCCAATGTGTCCAAAATATAAGGTGATTTCAGCGCCTCCGGCTTTCATAAGATCATTGTAGACAGACGGATCCATGTTGTATCTGCTCTACCGGGAGTGAATGACCAACGCTTATTCAGGATTCTTTATACAAGACCAAACATGAAGCGGAGGCTGATGATCTGGCGTCCAATACAAGCCCGAGAAGCTCGAGCCAATTTCATCAAATCTACAATCTACACTGTACTGTTGAAAGACCAAGACATTGAAGAAATCTGTTTGAAAGAGGTATTCATGCATTCAACAATGACAGCAGGGCTTCTAGAACAAGGTTCCATCACCGAAGTTCAAGATAGGACTACACTTAGTCCCTGGACGTTTAACCGCTGCAAGCTCACGACCCGCTTTCCAAGAGCCCGCCTCCAACACCTGAGGTAAAGACAATTCGACACCATCCAAACGAGCGAGGATCGTTTTATGCAGCACATCGAGGAGTGCAACGGTCATCGCTCGCCACTCCACAATCTCGTCATCGCCTGCACCGAACGAAGGCAAGCTACCACCCGAAAGGCTCAACCCTCGCTGCAGTGACTCGGGCTTCAGTTCTAGAACTCCCATATCGACAAGCAGTCCACCGTTACGGTACTCCGGCAGACCAGTCCCCAGCTCGGTATTGGACCACGAGACGGAGAGCAGACGAGAGAATGGCACCATTAATGAGTACCCTAACCACTGGGTCAGCTTATGGAACGGTTGGATGATGGAGCCGGGCTTTGACTCCAATCCAGGCTGCTGTGAAAGCGCGCGCAGGGGCCACGCATCGCCGATGGGCTGTCCGTTAATGTGAGTGCGATCAGACGGCCAGATGGGAACCAGGAGGCGCTGTAGCACGTTCCAAAGATCCCTGTAATCGAGTGTTCCGCTATCATTTGACTTGGCAATGAGGTAGTCTAGATGTTTGGGAACTGTTGAGTCATTTTGATAGGGGGAAAAAAAAATGGAGAAAGAAAGACCCAGGACTGTCCGGGCGAAATGGGCGAAATGGACTTACCAACAAGATTACCAGGACGACCAGAGGGGCCAAATATATCTTTCAAGTTCACCAAAGACTCGCCGAGTTTACGAAGAATATCTGCACGTGCAGGTACTCCTATCATGGGATTCGTATCGTCGACCTGGAGTCCACGGGATAAGATGTCTACACTAAGATTGCGCAATGCGTCGCCTAGAAAAGTCAACCAATTTTGCATCGGATTTAAGAGTGCACACGCTTACCATTAGCGGTGTGTTTTACCGACGAATTCTTGCCTGCAAAGTCGCCGTTGAGGAACATGTGAAGGGCCGCCACCGCAATACCTTCGCTTCGATTGAGCGTCAGACCGCTTTGTGACTCATGAAATTTCCAATAGTCTCCGGCACCAGCATCCAAGAGGACAGAGACAAAGAAAAGATCTATAAGTCTGCGTGTCTTTTCGGTGGCGTCGCATTTCTCCTCATCCCATTGAGCTAGGAGAGTGGCTATGCGGGGAACCCCGCCAACTTCGAAATGCTGCCAGCGTCCATGGGGCGGAATTAAGTGATAATTGTCGGGGCCGAAGTCGCGCTATGTTAGAGAATGAGCTTTGAAACACTTGGGACTCTTAAGGGTTCACTCTGGGGAAGTGCTAGCCCTACCTGAATCAGTTTAAGTACATAGGCAGTGGCATCTTCCATGCATTCAGGGTGGTAGTTGAAATGATTCAAACGCCCCTCTTCGGCTAGTTTGAGAACGATATGGGCTCGTGTGCGGACAGCTTCTAGGCCTAGGAGTTCCTCAATTTGGGGATCCATGTTGGTTGAAAGAATGAGAGAGGTGAGTCTGAGGTCAAGCTTAGTAGAAAGTGTGTTGAATCACTCGGAGCCAGGAAGGCGGGGAAACGTATGCACTTATGTAAATAGCTGCATATGTGCCGACTAACTAATCCAGTTATCTTTAGGCACAGTGTCTTGAATGGCAGACTATCCTGCTCAGGTGTTGATAAATTCTTTGTCACTGACATGCTATCTATCTGATGTCGGAGTAGTCCGATAGCATTGGGCTGTGCAATTTCGAAGGATTTAGGTGTCAAGAACATATACAGAGTAATTTTGGTATAGACTAGTAGAGACACTATGATTTTTTTATAAAACGCAATGCCTCAGTAAATTCAGAGTTAGAAAGACAGAGGATCAAGGTGGCCCAAGAATGCGTCGTTGCCCTCACCGCGAAGAAGAGCATCGATGTCAATGCGACCGGCCGTAAGATACTTCTCACTAACACCGATGTTCACTCGCTGGGAAAGATGCTGCTTGAGCTCCGCACGAAGCCCAGCCATTTCGCTCTTGCTCAATTCGCTGGCCTCCTTGTCACGTCTTTCGCGGCCACCACCACGACCACGGCCTCTACCCTTAGACTGATCGAACTCGTCACTGTCATACTCAACACCAAGATCATCGGCCGCGGCACGAAGCCAGTTATCCTCGGTGTTGACCTTCTCCTTGGCGATAGTGGAGTCAGTAATTCGCTTGGCGAGAGCCATGCGGGGGCGGAGGCGAGCAACCACTCGGCGATCAATGTCAAGTGACTCGAGGGGAACCTTTTTGCTAGGTCCGTCAGAGGCATCGGCCTTCTTTGCCTTCTTGGCATGGATCTTGCCAGCGAGGCGGGCAACACCGACAACCTCGTCAGGAGCGCAGATTAGGATACTCTTTCCGGACTCACCGGCACGAGCAGTACGGCCGGATCGGTGAACGTAGGCGTCTGCTGTGCGGGGAACGTGGTAGTGGATGACACAATTAATGCCCTTAATATCCAAACCACGAGCGGCGACATCGGTGGCGACAAGAATTGAGCTTGGGTTGGCAGTAGGAGATGAAAAACGTTCGATGGAACGGAGTCGGGCCTTCTGGGCCATGTTTGAATGGAGTGCGAACACTGGAAGTTGAAGAGCTTGCAAAAGCTGAGTGATGCGGCGGACAGCGGAGATGGAGTTTGTGAACACAATTATACGGTTCTTGGGATAGTAGAGAAGAACTGAGTAGAGATAGAGGTCCTGGCCATTTGGATTAGTATCGGTATTCGAGCGGCTCGAAGAGAGATTGTCTTACCTTTTCCATAGCAGGGCATTCGACGATTCCTTCTTTGAGTCCGATAGCCATCTGTGACTCCGGGTTCACATCGATGAACTTAGGCTTCTCTTCACGGAAATTCAGTTTCTTGAGAAGGTACTCCATAGACGCTTTGTTGTCCAACATATCACCGCTTGCCCAGCGACTTTTACCTGCTAGCTTTTGTTGAAGATCCTTGTGGAACGTGGCCGAGAAGACAAGGGTCTGCCTGTGAGATGGCTGCTCCTCCTCTTCTTCCTGATCCACATCTGCAATATCGCCGGCCTGATGTTTGTCTAGTGCATCAAGGATATCTTCTACCTCCTTGAAATGACCTTCACTCAACAGTCTGTCCGCCTCGTCGACAACCAGGAACTGGATTTTTTGCATTTTGCGGATCAGCCCCGTTCCTGTGCTTAGGATCTCCCACACACGTCCCGGGGTTCCAACAACAATATCCGCCGTAGCAAGCTGTCTCTGTTGCTTCTGAATAGACATACCGCCGGTCACAAGAGCAATTCGTGCGTTGGTATCCGGGGAATTGGCAATGAGGTCTCCAATATGCTTCCCAAGCTGATGCGCCAGCTCTCGAGTGGGAGATAGGATCAATGCAATCGGGGATTTGTTCTGTTCAGACGTGTCGGACTGTTCTCTCAGTTTCCCTCTCTTGTCCAAATAATGTTCGATAATCGGAATACCGAATGCCAATGTTTTACCGGAGCCGGTAGAGGCCTTTCCAACAACGTCATGCCCATCGAGAATGGCAGGAATACTGGCCTTTTGAATTGCCGATGGGGAGCTAAACTTCATTTTGGAAAGAGCCGTAAATGTCTCGGGCGAAAGATTAAGCCCATCCCAAGCCGACACGTCCACACCGTCATCCTCCTCGACATCATCGAGAGCCGCGAATGAGAGCCCGGCCTTAATGTTCTGGTTCTGGGCTGGTTTAGACTCTTTAGACTTTTGCTCCTTAGGCTTTTTTTCCTTGGACTTTTGCTCATCTTTCTTGGCTTTGTTTTGTTCCTTCTTCTTGTTCTTCTTCGACTTCTTATCTTCCTTCACTTGGTTTGCAGCGGGAGTCTTCTCGGCGGCAGGTGCTTTTTTGGACGAGTCTTCGTCGCTAAAACCAGACCATTCGTCTCCGTCATCCTCAGACGGGGGCTTCACAATCGATTTTGTTGGCTTGCCAGACTTGGCCTACCCATCCAGCCACATGTATTAGCGTTAAATCAACAGAATCGATCCAAGCATGCAGTCTCAAACCTTGAAATGAACACCTCCGTCACTCTGTTTTATGATATCCACTCCCTCAATCTCCTCCAGTCCAAAGAATCCCTCTGTATTCTCCATACGATCGGGCATAGCAACTTGCTTCCAGTTGAGGTCCTCAACTCCAAGAGAGCCATAATCGTCGCTTGTAGCTGCGTCAGACTTGGTTGCCTTTTTACGCTTGTTTGCCTCAGCCACCTGGGCCTTGGAGTCGCGTGCTCGCTTTTGACCCATTGTAAACTGAGTAATTCTTGAGTATTGCAGTTCGTTCTGGCAGACAAGTGACGCCGTCGGGGGAAGATTCGCAAAGAAAAAAAGCGGCAGAAATTTTAGTCCGCCTTTGGAATCTTATCTTTTCGTTCCCCACGTTCGCCGCAAAATCAACCCACTTTGCCAGACTAGAACTGCCAATTGCGCCTGAGCAGCCTGTTTTGAAGATGGGAAAATCTTCCAAGGACAAGCGCGATGCTTACTACCGCCTTGCCAAGGAGCAAAATTGGCGCGCTCGTTCTGCCTTCAAGCTTATCCAGATCGACGAGCGATTCGACCTATTTGAGCACGAGAACCCGGACAGTGTGACGAGAGTTGTCGATTTGTGCGCTGCACCTGGAAGTTGGAGTCAAGTACTCAGCCGTGTCTTGATTAAGGGCGAAAGTTTCGGGCGGCGAGCATGGCTCGAGAAAAAGCGTGCAGAACAACGGGGATTGGAGGGCGCAGATGCAACGACGGCCGATGATGATAAAATGGACTGCGATGAACCTTCTTCAAGCCCTGAATTAAAGCCCCGGAAGAATGTCAAGATCGTATCCATCGATCTGCAACCCATGGCACCGCTCGAAGGTATTACAACCCTCAAAGCTGATATCACACACCCCTCTACGATTCCTCTCCTCTTGCGCGCTCTGGACCCAGAAGCATACGGACAGCCATCCGCCCCATCCGACTCTCCATCACAAGTCAAAGAGGCTAGCAGACAACCTCACCCCGTCGACCTAGTCATATCCGATGGTGCCCCAGATGTAACAGGTCTACATGACCTAGACATTTATATTCAATCACAACTTCTCTACGCAGCCCTTAATCTTGCTATGGGTGTTCTCCGACCTGGCGGTAAGTTCGTCGCCAAGATCTTCCGCGGCCGCGACGTCGACATTCTCTACGCGCAGCTGCGGACCGTCTTCGAGCGCGTCAGCGTTGCGAAGCCACGCAGCAGTCGCGCCAGTAGCTTGGAGGCATTCGTGGTCTGTGAGGGCTTCATTCCACCTGTTAGTGACAGTGGAGTGGTCGGTATGGCCGCATTGAAAAATCCACTCTTCGGCGGAGCCGTTGCTCCAGCAGCCGTGTCGGAAGATGGTAATGTGGGCGTGGAAGTCCGTGAGGAAATCGACCAAGACACACAGGCCCGAAGTACCGTGGCGCAACTCGCGACAGTCAGCAGTCCTGCACCAAATCACACCACTGAAGTCCGCCATCTTCAAACCACAACATCACAAGACCAGCCCCAACCCCAGAAACTGTCAAACAAGTTCGCGGTTGAGAACCGATGGATTCCGTCGTTTATTGCTTGTGGTGATCTTTCCGCTTGGGATTCCGATGCAACCTACACCCTACCTCCGGATTATGTTAATCTGGATCCCATCCAGCCACCCACTGCACCGCCGTATCGTCGGGCATTGGAGTTGAGGAAGGAAAAGGGTGGTGCATATGGGAAGACCAAGCTTTGGTCCAAATAGGTACTCATAATTGATTATTACAGTGAATGAGTTTGAAGAAAAAGTTGTAAGTATAGACGACCTAGACACGACATGGCAGGCATTATCGAGGGACATGCTAGGAAGGCACTGTCTTCGAAGCAGATACCCAAATTACATTCTGTTGAATTTAAATTGTTCAACTACAAAGAGATCTAAATTTAGGAGAGATAGGATTGAAGGTTAAGAGTTCTAAACGCATTTTTGAAGTCTCTCAAGGCTAGTGAGCTGGCCCAAATCGGGATCTAAATACAATGAGGGGGAATAGAAACCAGAAACAAGCCAATCATGCCGCGCGAAGATAAAGTAACAGTCTAATAGACCTCAAGAACGTAGCTCTCTTCATCCTTCAGCTTCTCTATCTCCTTGCGAGTCTCAACCTTCTTGCCGGTGTTCTTGGCTTCGGTGGCAATAGCCTCCTCCAGAACGGCGGTAACATCGGGCACGGGCCAAGTGGGACCGCACAGGTAGAAAGTACCCTCCTCACGAAGGTAGGCCTGGATGATCTCGGGCAGGGTCTGGCGCATACGGTCCTGAATGTAAATCTTCTCAGGCTGATCACGAGAGAAAGCAGCCCCGAGGAGAGTAATAACACCAGCATCCTGGTAAGCCTCCCATTCCTCACCGTAGCAGTACTCTTCGCGCTGGTGACGGGAGCCCATGTACAGCAGGACAGCGCCAATCTCCTTGCCCTGTGCCTTCTCGAGGGCACGGTGCTGGACGAAGGCACGGAAAGGTGCGAGACCAGTACCGAGACCGGCCATGATAAGAGGCTGGGTGGACTTGGAGGGCAGCTTCATGACGCTAGACTTGACGCTGACGGTGACGGGGGAACCGGGTTGCAGGCGGCTCAGGTAGCGGGTGGCCAGACCGAAGCGGTCGCGGCCGTTGGGGTCGACCCAGTCCACGGCGACGATCATCAGAGCGACCGAGGTAGGGGTCACTTTCTGGCAAGAGGCGATGGAGTACTCACGGCGCTTGAGGGGACTGACGATTCGGACAATCTCGTGGAAGTCGGGGTGGGCGGAGGGGAACTCAAGCAAGATGTCGGCGAAGGTGATGGTGTCGACCTCAGCACGACGCTTGAACTCGGTAGCACCGTCGGGGCCACCCAGGATGAGCAAATTGGCCTTTTCCTTCTCGTCGGATGCAAACCCGGCAAGGGCCTCATAGAAGCGCTTAGGAGGGCGACCGAAGATGTCGATGTTCTGGATCAGAGCCTGGTAGACAGTGCGGTTTTCCAAAACAGCAGGGTCTTCGCGGCTAGGAACCTCGACAATCGCGTCGGCGTCCAGACCGTAGAACTCGATGAACTTCTTGACGTCCTCAGTATCGTTCTCGGCGTGGATGCCGAGGGCCTCGCCAATGTCGTACTTCAGACCAGTCTCACCGATGTCGAACTCGATGTGGAAGATGTTACGATCATAAGTGGGAGGGGTGAGGCGTCGGTTTTCCTTGACGTGGACGGTGAAAGTCTTGTGAGCAAGGTCAGGGCGAAGGGCATCCTTGGTGCCATAGGCCTCCTTGAACGCAAGGCCACGAGCAGCAGTTTCCCAGTTCTTGAGAAGAGTGGGGGGCTCAGACTCGTCCTTGTCGAAGGAAACAAAGCTGTTGGCGGTGATGTCCTTGGGGAGCTGAACGGCTTCGATGACGCCCTCGGGCTCCTTCCAAGACTCGGGAACCTCGATCTGGCGGAGAAGCTTCTCGAGGTCCTTGGTGACACTGTCCAGGGCCTCAGCGTTTCCAGTGATTGAGGACAGCTTCTTGGTTGCCAAAGACTCCTGAGCAGGGAGAGCGACACGCACGAACGAAGCCTGGAGGACAAGAGCGTCCAGAGACGAATCCTCAATAGATGATGAGTCGACAATGAAGACGGAGATACCACGCTGGGCAACAGCCTGCTTAAAGGTAGCGGGAAGCTTCTTCTCCAAATCCTCGTCTTTGACGCCAGGGGCGTTCAAGATGATCTTGGCATTGTCTTTCACAGAAGCGAGAACATCAATATCGTTCAGCAGCGAGATGTTGCCAACGTAAGACACCTCAGCCGCAGTGACCGCGTAAGGTGCGTCAACAATCTTAGCGCTTTTACGGATGTCAACACGGATGGCACCACCCTGGACGAGGTTGTCGTTAGTTTGGCTTAGGGTGACATTGCTGGCCGAGTCGGTGCCAAGAGCCTGGCTCAAAGCCTGAGCTGCTGACTTGGTGACGGAGGTGTCAACATCCCAGAAAGTATATTCCTGTACGGAGGCAGAGTCCAGTAACTGCAGGGAAGCGTTGGTTTCACCGTCAACGGTGACAATAGGCTGGTCATACACACGCTGGAATGCAGCGGCGGTGGACATGAGATCCCAACGCTGGGCGCGAGGGTACTTGATCTCAACACAAGTCGGGTTATGTTCAAGGCCAGTGGCAAAAGTCAAAGAGGCAAGCACATCTTCATAGAGAGCAGAATGAACACCCTCTTCCTGAACAGCCTGCTCAGAGGAGACTTGTCCTAGGACTGCGACAGTCTTAGTGGACTGGGGAAGAACGCGCAGGAACTCCTCCTCGATGAAGGGGCGGTAGACGCGGACATTCACAACACCGACACGTACCCCATCCTTCGCGAGTGAGCGTGCGATTTGGGTAGTCAGGGTGGCCTCGACAGTACCGAACACGATTAGCACAGAGGTGGGCTCGGAGTGGCCGTGGTACTCGAAAGCACCGTAGTCGGTTCCGAGTTCGCCGTTCAGGGTCTTCAGAAGATCCAGAACCTTGCCCTGGGCATCAAGATGACGGTTGCGGGATTCATCGATAGACTTGCGGACGGTCTCATAGGTGCGAGTCAGACCATCCTTATCGAGAACATCAATGATACGGGTGGTATCACGGCCAACACGGACACCATCATAGATGTGAATTGAGGGGAGGACCGAGGAGAGCAATGTGGTGAAGAGGGCCATGTGCTGAGACTCGTGTGCAGAACCGCTGGAGATTAGACCCAGACCGAGTTCCTCGGTCAGAGAGAGGACAGAGGCATAATCGGAGACTAGGCCGTCCTCGCCGGCGTGGTCGACCGCGGCGACGTGTACAGCGACCGGGCTAGCGACGGAGTAGAGCAGAGAGAGCTGCTCCAATGCGGCCCGCATATAAGGAAGGGTTGCCGAAGAAGCAACAATACCCTGGGGGATGTGACGCTTCTTCAGATCAAAGTCTTGAGAGAAGAGGTAGCCAAGGGCCATATTGCCAGCACCTTGGCGGGTTTCTAGAGCCTTGAGAGAAGGAGACTCGCCATTGGCATTAGTCTCACCCTTAGATGCCCATTCCTTGAGAGCAGCGTCAAGATCGAAAGTCTCAGGTGAGTAGGAGAAGATCTTGTCACTCAGTAAATATGCAACTTGCTGGATCAGCGTCTGGGCTGTAACATAGGTCGGGCCATTCAAGGCCGACAGGGATGGAACTGATGGACCCATGACTTCTTCTAGACACCGGACACAAGACCGATATCTGTTATAGATAAAAACAAAGAAGGTGGGGAGAAAGAGAATCTGCCCTCTTCATGGCTTGGTTATAGAGAAAACCACCAGTTAACGCCCAAAGCGGTTAGTGGCAATTGCGTGCTTGTTATCGGGCGATAAGTCTTTTCAAGGCGGTAAAAAGCGGCGGATTCCCACCCGCTTTCGGAGCTTTACTCAGCCGTGCCATTTCCAAGGTTGAAAGCCCGGGTGATGTGGATTCACCTTCCATTTTCGGAAGCACATGGTCTTACAAATTTGACATCAAATCCTCCCCAGTCGTCAACTGTGGTTTACACAGATTTAAGATGCAGGCTACCGCGGCTGCCGCTGCACAAAGCCCTGGCTGGACCCAGACGTGGTCCTCACAGTGCTTCAGAGGGATATACGCAAGTCGCCCTTTTCCGACTGTTTGTCCGCTGTCCTTTTAAGTGACAAGGGGAGCCAAATTTGTAGTTAGAACGACAAAGAAAAGATGTCTCAAGGCCACATGAGTGATCGACTGGTCTTTTATATTTTACCTACAAATTTAATAATCACCTTCGTGCCACCTACTCCTACGAAAATTGTATCACGTGATCCGTGCACTTATGCTCGGCATCGATCTGCACAAAACAGCGCACTGAGCCTCGGCCGCCCACTTTACCCCGGAATGCGGAGAACCCATTCCACCACCCCAGAGACTAATGATCCTGATACACAAACACCCATAGAGTCCAATACTTAGTCCAAAAAAGATTCTCTGACTATACCTCTCTTCACTGACTCTTCCATCATGGCGTACAATTCACCGAATCTTATCCCGTTCTCCGAGCCACCTTATATTCGTGGCCTCCCTTCTCCCTACAAGACACCAGCCCATCGTCGCTTCCAACAAGCATACCGTAATTTTGTAACAGATAACCTGATACAACAAGCTTTTGAGTGGGAACGTGAAGGAACAGTCCCCGACCATGTATTCCAACATTCTGCAAGCATAACATGCTGATGCCCAACATGCCAGCTCCATTTCCAGTGGATTGACTGAAGCACCTGGGAATCAACTATATACTGGCGGTCAATGTTGAAGATTGGGACTACACCTACACTGGAATTTACTGTGATGAGGTGGGCCATGAAGATTATCCAGCTACCCTATATTACTGCGAGGTAATTGACGGAGGGTTTGCAATTAAATGGCCTGTTCTAGCCTCAGCGGCCCAGCTGGATCATTGAACGCCGGATTTGCTTTTGGAATTGCACTAATTTACAAATTCGGTAGCACCAAGTTGCAGAAGCGGTTCTTGCCAGACCTGCTTACAGGTAAGAAGCGAGGTTGTGTTGCCATCACGGAGCCTGAGGCCGGCAGCGATGTCGCGAATTTCACCACAACTGCTGTCGAAAGTGACGATGGTCAGCACTATATCCTGAATGGGTCCAAAAAATGGTTTCTGGTCAGACTATGCTACCTTGGCCGTGCGAACCGGTGGACCAGGAGCCGCGGGTCTTTCTGTTTTAGTTGTACCTCTGAGAGGCCATCCTGGTGTCTCAATGCGCCGACTCAAAGTCTCTGGTCATATCATAGGCGGGACCACATACATTGAGCTCGACATCGTCAAGGTTCCTGTGTCAAACATTATTGGCAAAGAAGGCGACGGCATGCGTAATGTCATGACCAACTTTAACCATGAGCGACTTGTCATTGCTTTTGGAGTCACTCGCCAGGCTCTTATGTTGCTCTTTCTGCTGCTATCTCGTACTACTTCAAGCGCGAGGCTTTCGGAAAGACACTCATGGACCAACCTGTGGTCCGCCATCGTCGATCTAAGGCAGGCGCTGAGCTTGAATCTATGTGGACATGGATTGAGCAGATTTTGTACCAATTGGTCCATCACAGTAAAGAAGACGATCGTCAACTTGGTAGCTTGATGGCATTGTCTAAAGCGAAGTCCGCCATGGTTCTGAACGAGTGTGTCCAAACAGCAGTGTTATTGTTTGAAGGCAGTGGATTTACCAAAAGCGGTCCGGGTAAATTGGTGGAAGGCATGTTCGCCACAGTACTGGTTGATGGTTTAAACAAGCTAGCTTCGCCTTTAGCCATTCTTTGCGATGTTCCTGGTGCCCGTATTCCAGGTGACTTAGAAGACATGCTCCTCGATCTGTCTGTGCGTCAATTGGTCAAGCTATATCAGGTTGAAGAAAAAAAGCTCTCACAGAGCGCCAAGATTTGAAAGTGGACAAAGTGCAATCTGACTTGAGATATAGACCGGCCCCACGAGACAATAGCAATTGGATCACAGCAAAAAACTCATTCTCTCCTTTGCGTTTTGATAGATGAAATTCCGAATTTTTGAACCATCAGTATAGGTTGCCTTGTGGGTATGGAGGGCCAAATTCCAGGGCATATCTAAGAGGAGTAAGACCATTAATTGTACCCACGGGGGTTATATGGGCGCCGTGCTGGAGGAGCAAACTCGTCATGTCATAGGAGCCTAGACTCGCAGCATAAACCAAGGGCGGACATGTCTGTTCCTAGATTTACTTGGGCTCCGTTGCGCAGAAGAACCTCCACAACATTCATACGACCGAATCCGATGGCAAGGAGCCAAGGTGTGATGTTAAAAGTTGAGCCGGGGGAGTAATCTCTTGTTCACGTCCAGGTTGCTGTGCGATATCAGGTGCTCAATACCTTATTCAAACCCCTCTTGCAACAGCCACGGCAGTACAAAATGTATAGCCCATGTATCTAGGTTGTAGAGGACACTAATCACGGTATCATGAAGCATATGATTTGATCACATAAGCGAAAAATTGTCCTTGTACTGTGATAGATGCGAAGCAACAAGACAAATTACTTCGAACGGCAGGGAGACAAGAAGCATTTTGAAATAAAATGAGACCTCTGTCCACACACAACAAGAGGGATGATCTACGCTATACAAGTATGTCGACGAGTGGGATGTAACGATCATAATCCAGTTAACCCATGTTTAACTCTAATTTTTCTGGAGATGTCCAGCTTACTATGACTCGATTAAGTCTTCGTATGCACTTCACAATTAATCGTTCGGTGATACTCTGCTTAACTCGCTTCATGCCCAGTCAATTTTGCACCATATTTCTTGCTCTTTTTGTAGGCATCTTGAAGCACAGCGATGCTATGCTTTCTCATATTGTTCAGACATAGACGTGAGAACATCAGTCATTCAAGTCTAACCTTCACGCTCAACTTTGGGATGGACAACTATATACGCTTAATACATCCATCAAACAATATGCTTCGAGAGAGCAACAATTCCTCTCTAGAGACGATGCAATGCATCTTAAAAAGTATTGAATTCAGAAAATTTCATGGCCGACTGAGTACACCATGATACAAAATCTTCCACGCGATTCAAACAGATTGTTGAAATTTTTTTGGATTTAATATCTTTTATCCGCCATTTCTAGGACTTGGATTGTGACGATCAGGGAGCTTCCAATAATACTTTGCTATCTTACTTTAGCAGTACAAGACCTGGGTACACGAATAGCTCAAGATTGTTGAGAAGTTGACCCCTACAATAAACTGCCACTCTGAACTGTTACGCGATGTTGTATCATACAAAAATTAGATTATAGGTGACGCACCCCTTGCATAGCACCATTCATGGCACACGAAAACAATGCATAACCCAGTGGACCTGTGGTCGGATTTTTCTCATAAAGATCAGAAATCAGGTCACAAAGAAGCCCGTTGATGCACATCAAGTCAAGCACACCTTCATAATCGGATGACTCTGATGCTATCGAATTATATCGGACAGTAACGAAAGAAAGGACATTTCGAAGTTCAATGGACAAGGGTCTCAGTGCCATGGAGAGATGTGAACTTGCCCACCGCCCACACTTGATTTCTGCCACCTCTTGACTTTCCCCTTCCCGTGTGCCCCAAGTCGTGCTTGCCCAATGTAGTTTAGCTCGATATGATGACGAAAGGCACTGCGATTTCTCCAAAACTGCTACTGCGCCCCCGAGGTCCTCTCTTGAAATCGTAAGCTATACAAACGCAACACAAAACTGCCCTCATTACAACTTCGTATATGCAAAAATGGTGAATGTTGCACTGGTCGGTGGTACGGGTATGGTGGTAAGTGCACACATCTGACAAGCGAAGCTCCTCAATCTACTCGCCCGAAAACTTCCAAAGCACACATACTGCCAGAAGTTGAGCTAAGTCGCACAACCGATAGGGATCCCACATCCTCACTAGCCTGATTTCCAACCCTGCAGTCACCCGCGTGGACACTATCTCCCGCCGCACCCCGCCAGCCACTAGTGGCACGCCCCCAGCCAAACTTACCAACTTCGTCTCTAGCGATACCGCCACCTGGGCCAGCCAGCTCTCCTCCCTCAACCCGACCCCCGGCATCTTTTTTTCTGCCTTTGGAACCACAAAAGCAGCTGCGGGCGGGTTCGATAACCAATACAAGATTGAGCATGGGCTGAACGTCGAGCTGGCCAAGGCCGCGCACGAAGCTGGCACCAAGGTCTACGTGCTGATTTCCTCTACCGGTGCCAACAAGGACTCCAGCATTCCATACCCTCGTATGAAGGGTGAGATTGAGGAGGACATCAAGAAGCTTGGCTTTGAACGCATGGTCATCCTGCGCCCTGGGCTGATTGCTGGCACTCGCGAGGAAAGCCGGCCGTTCGAGGCTGGGATTCGATTTATTGCAAATTGGGCTGGCAAGCTGCACTCCAGTCTGAAGGATGGCTGGGCTCAGGAGGCGGATGTCATTGGCAGGGCTGCTGTCAATGCTGGTCTCAAGGCGCTCGAAGGTGATGTTCCTGAGGGCAGTGACAAAGTTTGGATCTTAGCTGGTAGCGATATCATCAAATACGGCAAGGAAAGCTCGTCTTGAATGCCTCAGTGCGTTAGAATACGTCTGTATGTAATTATTTTGGCTTGGGATGTATGGCGCCACGCATCTATGGACAGTTTACTTGATAACATTGATGGAAACTCAATATGACATGTTTTTGGAAAATCCTGAAACCCCCGAGAAACAGGATTCGTTTATCGCCAGCAAGAGTATGAACAAAATGAAACATTCAATCCCGATACGAAACATGAGTCCCATCCTCCTTCACGTGAATCCCACGGCCCTTCTTCGGTGCCCCACGAGAACTGGAAGCTCCTCGATCCTGATTTCGATCAGGCCCATCATCAGCCGGGCGTCTCCAAGCGCTAGCATCCCTATTGGCCGGGCTCATGTTGAGGGGACTTTCCGTCTTGCCTTCTTGCCTACTTTCCTCTTCAGTAGCCGCGAGCTCGCTCTCGGGTGCTGTATTCTTCGGGTCGAATGCAGAGGGGTGCTTGGCGACTTCACCGTCCGTACCAGATTTTGCAGTCTCTGAGCGCTCCGGGTTCAAGGCTTCTCGGTCGAGTGGGTCCTGGTCTTTTTCAATCTGGAGGATTGAAGTTGTGCTGAAGGGTGTTATTTTTGCGGTTGGGGTGGCGAGGGATTGGGTAGTCGCTTTCGAGACCTGGCTCCAAGTGGCTCGGGTGGCTTGCTGGCCGGCTGATATGATGGGTTTCCACATTCTATGAGATGTGAAAATGATGTATGGAGAAGATTTCAGGCGTGGGTTGAAGTGGTTCGTATTGATATCTCGTCGAGGATGTGCTTGAGTTTCAAGGTTGTAAGATGCAATGAAGTGGACAAAGAAATCAGTGAAAGACGAGAATTGCTCGTTCAATTGTTGTTAATATGAGAGAAAATCTGCTACAGGAAGTGTCATTCTTCTCTGTGTTCCAGGTTCTCGTGGCCCTCTAGATCATATTGACGTCACTTGTTTGCAAACAGTCAGGCTAACCTAATCTGGTAATTAGCTTGCCCTAAGAGGCTGGCTTCAAGAAAATGAAATCAAAGTACGCCTGAGATTTCCCCTGAGATTTCGGCCATTCATTTGTGTCAGTGGAAATTTCAGTTTTCCTAGAATCTATATCTGCGGTTTGCTTAATATCTGCCACAACCACAGTCTCATACAACTGTAGCTCAAGGCAAGGATTTCATGGCGAGTGTCAGCATTTTGCGAGCAAATTAGATCCATATTGGGGGGGAAAGAATGAACTGTTCTCAACTGAAAATTTCCAGTAGATGCAGTTTTTTTGATGATCTGGAAACTTCTTGGGCCCGTTTGACTTGTTTATCTCAAAGAAAAGGCCACAGACCAACCTAGCAGTACCGGAACACGATGAACTCCACGATCTACTATGTACTGTGGCTGAACGGAAGGAAGATTATGCAGATTTCATCAAGGACATTGTGCTGCTGTTAGGAACGTCAAGAAGAGAATGGATTTATTTCCTTTCATAGATATCTCTGATGCGTGTAGTACGTACTTAGACCTCGGCGCGAACCTCAATTACGAAGACACCATGCCATGGAGGGTCTAAAATATAGACCTCGACCCTCGAAGAACTTTTTCATACACGTAAAATAAATATCAGAAATAGCTAGGAAGGCTTCTGCTTATAAATTCTATTTTAAAATCTTTCATGCACGGTTGAGGGCCCTCGGCAGTTTTTTTTTTTTGCGGGTCGATGGTCCAGACCCACTACCCTTCAATTTCCTAGGTCTAACTAAACGGCACTGTGTCTAGATCCCCTGGTGAAAGGAGATACTCTCCTAGCTCAAATGAATGACAGATATTCTGGGAGCAAAGTAGTCTCAGGCTCTCTGCGAAGATCGTCCGTAAATGTCACGACACCACCGAGCCACCTGAGTTAGTAGAACTGCTTGAGCCTCAAAAGAAGCAAAAAGGGGGCACCCGGATGTTACGGGAAAATGGGTACAGTGTGGAACTGAAACCAGTAATTGATGCGTAAGCACCCGAGCTGGGTAACGTAATTTTGCCGGTCTGGCCCAAGGAGCAAGCTTGCCCTAAGTTCATTCCAGTTTACGTATTTAAACATCTCTAGATTCCTCTGATTTCTTGAGGTCATTCATCACTCTACCGATTCTGTCAATTCTGTCAATTCTGTCAATTCTGTCAATTGTGCCAACTGTGCCAACTGTGCCAACTGTGCCAACTGTGCCAATTTTGCTTCAATAGCCTTCTACGTCAATCAACATCAATCTTAGACCTACTGCAACCATGCTAGTCCTCAAAGCAGCATCACCCATCCTCCGCAATGCGTCCTTGCGGACCTCGCAGTCGATGCGAGCACCAGCCCGACGCTTCTTCAACAGCGAAACAGCACCCATCATCTTTTCAGCCAACGCAAAAGTCACTGGGGCCCGATCAGGCCACATCGAGGGTGACGACCTGGTACTCGACCTAGCCCTGCCCAAAGTATTCGGCGGAAAACACGCACCCGGAAAGACAAACCCGGAAGAGCTGTTCGCCGCGGGCTACGGCGCGTGCTTCCAGTCAGCAATGAACGGGTCGGCGGCAATGTTGAAAATCAGAATGCCATCGAAGCCGGAGGATAGCATTGTGGAGACAACGGTGCATTTGGTGGGGGATCCTGCCAAGATGGACATGGGCATTCGGGTAGATATGAAGGTCAAGGTCAAAGGATTGGCCAGGGATCAGGTTGAGAAGGTGGTGGCCAAGGCAAAGGAGGTGTGTCCTTATTCGAGGGCGACAAAGGGAAATGTGCTTACTACGGTTGAGATTGTGGATGCTTAAGGCAGAGATTCTAAAGGCAGGGAGCAAACTCGATTTGCTGAGAGCTGTGTGACCGAACTGTAAATAGGTGTGTTAATATTTCAAGTTGAATCCTTATTGCCTTTTAGCAAGAGATCTCAAAGGCTTTCAAATTGTCCTTTTTCTTAGCGTCATGAGATATTATGACGAAACTCCTTCATCGATATTTGGATTTGTGCTTGAGCGAGGCCGGCAAATAGGATGCTTCAAAGAGGCCGGCAAATGGGATGCTTCAAAGTTTTAGTGATTTTTCTCAATCCGGAAAGATTGTTTGACGATGATTCACCATTCAAATTTTCAAGCTCTTCCTTATGACCTAGTTGAGATCCTGCATTCACCTGGGTACAAACTACACTTCCTAGGTAGGTCGAGTTTGGGTAGTCAATCTACGTATGACGTCACTGTGATCTAGACGGCCTAGTTAACTAGTTAGTGCCGCTTTGCTTCGTACTTAGATAAGGCAATGTAGCCCCACACGTCCGATATATAACCAAAGGTTCGCCTATAACATAATGTGCTACCTGGTCGAAGTTCTCCTAGACATCTATTGTATATTTTGTATCCTATTGTAGCCTTTGTTATATCTTAGTACCGCTACCGCGTACTATGGTACGCTACCACTCGATAAACTTTTCTTTAGACGCGTTATTCATCGCGTCATAGAGGATAAACTGCTTTCTCCGATCAGGGCCGACGCGTTTAAGAGAGCAATCAAGAGTAGCCGGTTAAGTGAACTTAGACTCTATTAGTGATTAGACTTCCGCAAAGCCCAACTTGGGGCCCAAGGTCCGGGCTCGAAACCCGACCCGCAACGAGCTGGGGGTCGAACTTTTCAAGCTCGACCCGGACCCCGGCTCGCAGGGGGGGGGCTCGTCGAGCGCATAAAACATGGTCTTGGCGTTCATTAAATGGCTGAATCACCCAAATAATTGACCGTCTTTTACCCATGCTTTGGTTTATACATGGAATTCTACTCGATTATCATAACAAGTAAGGGGAAATATTTGGAAATTCTAGTGAATAGATACATGTCTTTGATACATTAGCATTATAACTAAGCTTTATGACTGTACATATCAGTTTGTTTGGAATGTTCTACGCTTATGAGGTGTTGCCTATAGATATATATTCTGTACCAGGAACTATGTGTATGTGGTCGAGTATCAATATCAGACCATTATCAATTACAAGTGGCTTAACTTGTTCGAATTTTGTATTAACAGAAAGTCTACACATTTATCATTTCTAAGAGCCTTTTACATTACTAGTCCTAATAGTTTTGGATGAGCTACCTAAATTTAAAACTTTTTCATGGCTAATCAGTTAAAACTTTTTGAGGAAAATCAAGTTCCAACGAGTTGGGAATGGGCCGGGAATGGGCTATTCATGGGCTTTTTACGGGCTATTAATGGGGGTTTCAAGCTTTCGTCGAGCTTTATGGGTTTTTTTTCGAGCTTCAGGGGCTTTTTTCGAGCCGGCCCCACTTATATATACAATTCAACTAATCACATACTACTATCATCACCCTCTATTTTGATCTATCGATTATTGATTTAACTAGTTAAGTAACACTTCTAGGTGGTAGAGCTTCTTGTAATGTATCGACCCTCCTTTATGCATTCTCAAAAGCCCTTTCTGTTATAGGTTTAATTAACTCTACAATGTCCCAAAGTCAGCAGTATGAGTTTGCATCATCACAATTCGGTGGTGACTACGATAACTTATCCTACCTTATACCCTCCAATTACCCAGCTACGCCATCGACAAGCCAACAGACTTTTGATGTATCTGTACCGGCTTTTCTTCGACCGGACGACCCTCCCTTACTCCCCC